AGATTTATATATAGTTCTATTCTGACACGAAATCGGACTTTTTCTGCAATAACATACCAATTTTTTTCCATATTTCGACTCAAATTATGCCCAAATATAAAATTTTGGAGCGAAATTTACAAATTTATGTTGGCGCTTTTTTTTTCCGTTTGCGCCAAGAATAGTTCACTTGGCGAACTTCTTAATATACGGCAAACTATTTTCCTTTCCCGTGAGAGGGAAAAAAATCACAACGTTCTTTTTTTCAAATAATGTTCTTTATATTATATTTTTATGTTATTATTTTAAATATTATTTTTTCTTTTTCGAATTTCATTTTAATTGTTTAAGTTGCATGCTTTCTTTCGAATAACTGTTTTAAAAATTTCTATTTACCCATTCGAACTGCGTAGTTTAAATAAAAGGTGCATCGCTTATTTTTACTTCCTTCTACAAAGTAAAAAGGAAGTATTGTAATCGCGAAAAGTTTCAAGCGGCATATTTCAACGAAAATATCCATTTTGACCGCTATCGAATGCAATTTAACGATGTTTTTGCGTGATATCTGTACGTAAGGACAGGATAAAAGACTCTTTTCCTCCAAAAAAAATTATAAAACTGCTTTAAAATGAATTCTGAAGAGAATTTTTCGTGGTGTCTACACGTATGTATCTCGCATAACTCAAAAACGAGTAGCCTCAGAACGTTGAAATTTTGTATATAGGACTGCTATAAACTGCTATAACATGTAGATGTGCACCTCGTGTTGTGGTTGCAATCGACCGCACCAAACGTATATAAATATATGTACATATAGTTATATCCACTCTGTTATCCGGCTCAATGATCTGAGTTTCTTTACGCTTATATGTTCGCAAATTGTGCATTTTTTGCTTTAAAAATGATTGAATTATGTTGTTCTTATCTTCCGGTTAAGGTTTTTATGCCTTTAGGAATTCTGCAAGCAATATTTGTAGAATTAAGCTGTTTAAGTGCGGTTAAAACTAATTTTTAAATAACATGGCGGATATATTTGTTTACATTTGAAACAGCAGTATAGTAGATTTTTTGCCAATCGAAAGAGGCTAAGCTTCGCAACAACAAAGATAACGCCATCCTTTATTATTGTGAATTAAATCATGCTTAATTCTCTCTGGAATTTTTCGAGAAAATAAGTGTTTAAGATTTACTTCAAAATTTTTAATACAGATATTTTGAGTTTTTATGTGTTTTTGCCTTGTCGCGAAGTGAGAACTGAATTAATTAAATGAGAAATACTGAATCGTATTTGAAAAACTGTTCCTTTTTTGTTTTGCTTGCTTAATTTCTTTTATACATCGTTCTAGCTTTATTATAGTATTTGAATAGAACATGTGGCAGCGGTTAGATAATTCTTCAAATGATATAAATTGTGTGCATTCTGAGTTATAATATGAACAAAATATAACGCTGTTAAGTGAACCTAGCGTCAGAGTGTCGCTATGGTAAACAAATATAGTGAATTTTAAAGAGTGCATTTATTCTATTGTAGTTTATGCGCTATCGACGAGGCAGATTTAATTAAATCCTATAAGTTTAAATGAAATGCAAGAAAGAATGGGTATAACTTAATATTCCGTACAAGGAAGGTCGTGTGGTGTACAAATCAGATTTTTTTTTCAAATAGTTTTCTTTATAATTTTTTTTGTTACAGTTATTATTTTTGGTAATTTTTAGACTTTTATTTTAATTGTTTGTGTTGCACTGTCTCTTCAAATTTTGTATTTATTCATTCGAAAAAAGCATTTTAAATATATTTATTAATATAAATTTTCCAGGATTTGATTTTATTTATTTAAATTGCGTTTCTTTCGGAAGAATACTTTGATCCCAGACTACAATGCATCTAAAAACTGAATATATTAAAAGAGAAAATACAGTAAAGCACGGTTAACACGCCTTTCAATGTTCCGTTCAGAAAAGTTATATAAATGAGAAGTTATATAAAAGTTATAAAAATGAGAATGTATAACCGACATTTTAACTTATGATGACTTGCATATATTGCTTTAAATAGCTTTAACATTGTGCTCATTGCACAAACACATAACGCGGCGAAGGTAAAAATTTCCTCTTACAAATACTTTAAAAAAATTTAAAAAAGGTTAATTTGAATAATGTTATCTACAATTATAAAAAAAACTTTTCATATAGTATTAATAAATATTTATTACGCATCACTGAGATAAAAAATTCCATATATCATTGAGATAAAAAGTTTCATATAATTAACTCTCCCTAAAAATTTATTTGAAATTTAAGGCTAAAAATAGTTGTGGCAATTCACTGTAAAAAAAAATCCATAAATCACATTTGATGTTATTATCGCTCAAAAAAAAAGATGTCAAATTTCAAAACGCGAAAATATGAAAATTTGTGCATATCTTAGAAAATTTTGAATAAAAAACTCTAATTTTTTGCAGGTATGCTTAGAACTACACTTACTTTAAGATGATGGTAAAAATTTGATAATTAAATTATATATTCAAAATTTCAAATTCAAAAATTTTTTTCGAAAAATTTAAAAAAATTATTTTAAAACATAGAAATTTTATAAATAAAACACAAAAATATGGCTGAATTTTATTTGGCATGAACCTAATTTTGAAATGTGAAGGAAAAAAAATCAAAAAAGTTTCATAAAAAAAGAGATATTAATAAATATATGCCAATTTCAATTAATATTGAGGAGCTAAAATTTTAAGAGCTAATTGTTTAAAAACTACTCGTACGATTTTTACAAAACTTGGCTGTCTGGCATAATTTGAGTCGTAGAATCGAAATCTGTAAAAAAATTGGTATGTTATTTCAGTAAAAGTCCGATTTTGTGTCAAAATACCTATGTCAGAATAGCGCTATATAAAAATCTAATATATATCCTTAGTCGTGCTTTCGAGACATGATAAACGCAATTTGGAATTTGTCTATCGGCCCAGGAGAAAGGGAGATATAGAACTGTTCTTTTTTTCGCAGTGTACATAGCAACACATACAGTGTAATATAGAGTGTAAAATATTCCATAGATTCGTCATGGGAAAAATTACTTGATTGTGCTAGTGTGCAAGACTTTAAAAATTACACCTTTATTTGTAGAATGAAATGAAATAGAATTGTTTAGATGGAGAATAATGCATAACCAAGTTTCATGTTAATTTCTCAATTATTTTTTCTTTTGTGAGTTACTGGGTTACCTGGGTTATTTTATGAGTTATTCCACATCAGCATTTTAATACATAGATTCTCTGACTAACCATTGTATTTTCTATATTTCAGTAGGAGCTTTTGTTAGTATAGTTTTGCCTACGGAAAAATATACAAAAGAGAGATTTCTAAAAGTTTTAAAAGTAGCTTAAATAAACAAAGACATATTCTTAAAATACTTATCTTTATTGAATTTTACGATGTTTACAGTACGTGAAATAGTAAGAACCTAGTTATCACCAAGCATTTTCAAATACACAAAGAAAGCCAAGAAATTTCACAATACAATAATTTTTACCAATTATAGTTTTTACCCTTTATTTAAAAGTGTATCAAAAAGTTATTCGGTATCGAGATAGCAAATTGAGTAGAATATAAAAATGTATTTTCGAAATTCAGATTTACATACTTCACTTATCGCCCCTACAGTAAATTAAAATTAAATATTAAATTATATCAGCGTACCACAAAGTAACCAAAAAAAAATGAACTACTTCTACACAAGGAAGTAAGAACAAGTTACCATAAAATTAATGCTTTTTTGTACATCAGTTTCGCACAAAAATTGCGTTTCGCGATTGGAAAATTATGCAAAAGTTCATGGCACAACGATCCTCTGTGATCGGTTGAATTTGTCCAGTTCCCGACGGGTTTCAACCGCTCGTCTGCTAGACCGTGGAGCGTGGACGTATTTAATGCAGGGAGCAGCTAATATGCCTAAACCGCTGAATCTGTAACCGAGGTATGTATTTAAGCCTCATCGTACGCTCCAATGAAGGTACATATGTCGTCTACTCATTCATCTAATCATTTGCTTAAGTAAACACAGTCGCATTGATTGTGAAATGCTGATTCTCCAGTCTTAACTAGCGTCGATGTTTTGTAAATACGTTCCTTTTAGTATGTGCGTCTTAGGTCTTAGTAAAGGCGGTCACACCGAAATGTCGTCGTGGTCCACCAGTCGATCGCGATAGACTTAATACCCCCTGATTTATAGAGTGTCACCTTCTTGGGAAGCATACACTAAGCCTTGACTCTTGATGGAACTAAGCGAGCTATCAGTATGCAGAGAATGCAAAAGAAGGTAAAAGACCCTTTTATTAAGAACTAAAATAGTTAACAGAAGTTAGCCAAAAGCTACATAGAAATAACAGCGCGCAAGTTAATTCAAACCTATACCTGCGTGACAAGCACTATTGGAAAGAATAAAGAAACACAGAAGACAGACCTCTATCGCATAATTTCAACTAATAACGTGGCCTTCAGCAGACAGAACACGCTCTAACTAAACAAGGTCAAATCCCGTTTTAAATACTATATCTCATTTGAATACACGAGATATAAAATTACCTTTCTGCCAAGAAAACGAAAAATTAGAGTGACACTAAAGGTACATAATATAAAATAACTAGTTAGATAAAATAAATAAATGCAAGTACGTTACATGTTTAGCATCGAGAGGCGAATAGACAGAAAAGGTTTTACGGCAAATAATAAAATTGCTGAAATAAAATTCATCGAGACTCATTAAGACTAAAAATGAGGCGAATTGTGCAAATTGAATTTCAACAGAAAGCAGAATGATTAGATCATTCGAATTTCTTGTTTTAGTTATATCATCTCTATCAACACCTAACCGCTAGAATCTGTCACCAACGTAGCGAATTAACAGCAGAATAGTTTTTCAGATAATTTGACCTAGTTAGTATTTAGATTATTAAAATTGTGCATATACTTTCTTTCCATTATTCCCGTGTTATAACTAAGTATATTTTGTTTAGCATTTGCAGGAAGTTTTACTTCTGAATGCGACTCTGAACACCGTTGCGAAAACGGAGGAACCTGCACTGGAAAAGGATCAATCAAATACTGTGTATGTCCTCCTCTGGTGTATGGATCTCGCTGCAACGTTGTTTTATATTGTGAGGCAGAAACGCTCTGCGCAGGTGTTAAGGATGCCCGTTGTGTGTATAACATAGAAAGAGAATCAGCAGAATGCCAGTGTACAGATCCTAATAGAATTTATAAGGATGGAAAGTGCGTAGGTATTGAGAATTTGACATTATTCTTATTGAGAATAGACCAAGCATATTCTTATTTTTGTAATTAATTATTTATATGTAATCATTCATAATTTAATTGAGTTAGTGAGTGCTCAATTTCTTCTTCTTTAACAACACCAGTAAGACAATTATCCATATAGAATTAGCCTTTTAACTTTTTTGCGATCTTGCTTAAATGTTCAGGTGGATTTTTCTAACAAATTATTTAGGCATGCTGAAAGAAGAAATGGAGAACAGCAAACACCAAAAACTACTCTGCAATGCCTAAATTCAACAATATTTCCCTTTTCTCACCACAAGAAGCGTAGGAAATCTCTATCTGCTGGATCAATTTAAATTTGTAGAAATGCCTTTTCTATATCAGAAGATAAAGCAATTTCATAAATTCTAAAATTAGTTAAAACTATTGGAATTACATCTATTAAATTTGGTCCAACTTCCAGACAATCGTTCAGAGAAGATCAATTTTCATCAACGAAAATCTGAAGATTTTTCAGATCAGACTTTTTTTGTTCTTGTTCATAAGCACCCTTTTGTATAAGAAAAAATAAAGTTTTTTCGGCTTTCTCGAATTCTTCAGCGGATATATTAGCCAAACGATTTTCATTTTTCATATAAGTGGGTCGGAATCTTAACGTCCAATATTTCGTACAATCATAGAATATTTCGAAAATCTGGAGGCAAGTTTAGCTAGAATACTTTCAACCGTTGAATTCTTCGCCGAAATGACAGTTCGACGTCGTTCTTTATCGATTTCTTTCATATCAAAATCAGGATCATTTGAAGGCCAAGTTTCTGGAGGTTTCTTCAGAAATTCAGATCCTGTCCATCATTGGGATTTTAGGAGTGGCAATGGATAGCATCCTCTTGACAATAAATCATCAGGGTTTAAGATCCCTGGTATATGTTTCCAACATCCTTTCTTTGCTGTAATCTTGAATCTCTTTAACTTGAGTTTGCATTAGTTTAGAACATCCTTCAGATAAATCTTTTTTGAATAAATATGTTTTCGGCAAAAACTAATATATGTTTTCTGCTGCAATAGTAGTTTCAGTATCTTTAAGAAAATATAGATAATTTAAAATTAGAAATATTTAAATACTATTTATTATAAAATTGATATGAGATTTAGCTTAAAATGTTTCTTTCATGTTAAAAATGTTTCAGGTTAAAAATGCTGACTTTGGTTGATTATATCGAAGGTTATTAATTTTACTTAGGGTCAAAATCTGACGGTTTGACTAAAAATTTCAGATCTCGTAGAAAGAGAAACCTTTGCCCTTGTAAATATTGGGCTAAATTATTTTTACAAAAGACATTGCTGACAGACAGTTTCTTAGCAAAAACTGATGCATAAATTTCTCTTAAAGGAAAATCGCCGAAATTTTTAATTAATTGTTTTACACGACAAATTAAAAAAATTTTTAAGATCAACTCCAATTATTATTAAGAATATATTTTATTCCCAATTTTGAAATATGAATTTCTTCTATTTATTCCATCAATCAGCAGCAAGCAGCCATCAATCAGCCAGTGCCATCAATCAGCAGCAAGCAGCCACACATCAAAATCCCCAGTTAATTTTCTGGAAGAAATTGAAGAAGAAACGGCCGTTTAGTCATATCCCAGTTAAATCTCGTGATCTGTCTTGGTGGACATTTAAATAGCATATTGTCCAAACATTGATCTACAACCCTCCTTGGACTTTGTAAAGCTGTTCAAGAGGAAATGGGTTAAAATACCTCTTCCGATACATCAGAAAGCTTTATTGTCTTCGAAATTACTTTGTAGAAAAATAGAGAAGAATAAGGGTTATCAAACGGAATATTTAAAAACCCAAAACTTTTAGGTAAAATATTTCTGTAAATGCAATGAAGCGAAAAGTCTCTGTACTTGCTAATATTTCATTGTTAAAATGTTAACTCCAGTAATACAACCTTCTTTTGAACATTTTTGCAAGTTATCATTTAGTCATCATATTACAATAAATTTCTAGGTGATCATGAAATAGGCGGTTTATTTATCTTTTTAGGGAAAGAAAAAAAGAAAAACTAAATTTTTATAAATCCTGGTGTAATATTAAGATAAATAAGAAAGCTGTGTAGCTTTTTCTAATTTTGATAAACTGGCTTGTTAAATTAAATTTGCCAGTAGTAAAGAAACTTGCTTCCAATATAGAAATAGTTGTTTTATTTTTCAACATTTTTGGCCGTTTAGACTTATCGAGTAGATCGTCAGAAGGCTTATTTTATTGATTAGTGTAAGTCTAAAGTAAATGTAATTCAAATCGCAAAATTCTGAACCCGAAAATTTTTATAATTTGGAAATAAAGAAAAACTTAATTAGCGAATGTATAAGAAAGATAACTCAAACTTTAAATGTAAATTCCGAATTAAATACTACCATTGTCAACAGATTATGTCACAAGTCTAACAGTTATCATTATCTGTTGAAAGGACTGAATTCTACGACTCTTCAAACATGTTTATGTTTTATGTCCTTATCTCTTAGAACGCTTTCTGCCTTATCAATGTATTGGATATCATACAGGCGTAGTTTGTGTGAGGAGAAAGGCATCATAAATCTTTTTTTTTTAATATCAGTTCAGTTAAAAAATGATCAGAGTAAAAAAATAGTAAATCTTTAGAAAAGGAATTCAGAAACAAAATTCAAGGTAAGGCATTTACAAACTAAATTTTTAATTTAAATAAATTCGTTAGAAAGTGCAACGATTTCTCTCTTGTGATATGAAATAATGAAACTTATTAGCTAGTAAATTTATTGAGGAAGATTTATGGTCTTCCATATTCTTTTTTATGAACAAACATAAATATAGCTGTAATTCAAATGGGGAAACGAAATAAAGGTTATCAAACAAGTAAGTAGTAATTTTAGTATTTTTGCCATAATTCAAGAATAAACAAACGTTTTTAACGCAAGGCCGATTAATCTGTAATTCGATTATTCCGTTCTAGTTAACTGGGAGTTGACTGTGTTTAATAAAACCGAATTTCATATACTAATCTAACTTTCGTACAGAAACAATTTTCTTATTATTCATTTTCATATAACAGACGTTTTTTGGTAATCATGTAGTATGCGATCTACCGCTTTTAGTTAGTTGCTTGTTCCTTAAATGGCGCCACAAAAACGCTGTTTTTAAATTCGAAGGTGATGCTACAGGTGATGCTCCTATTCCCATATCGTCGCTAGGCTTTCTATCAAATTTGGTGACATTCCAGCTGATAGATAAGGTTACAGATGGCTTTGACTAGTGTCAGTGAGGGAGGGAAAAAACCCTGTATTTATCTATTTATATCAATATCTCTAATGTATACACAATGCAAAATAAAAACACTTAAAATCCCTCCCATATTCAATTCCGTATAAACTGTATACAAAGAACGAAAACCCAGACGCACAATGACAAACTGCATGATAGATCCAAAAAATAATGAAACCAAAAGTGAAAAGGAAAAGAAATTGACTTCTTTCATTGCATCGCCGTCAGGGGGTTGATGCAAAGAAAGGAGAAAATACATCAGCCTGTTTCTGAACCAAAATGACACAAAATTTAATGCTTAAAATAATCTCAGAAAATTAATCAAAGTAATCTGTGTCTTTATCAGTCTAGGCTGTGATAAAATGATAGGAAAAAGAATGATTAAAACAACAACCAACTTTATTGCAGCCATTTAAAGAACAAACAAAAAAATCTGATGCGTACACCACATGACTTCCTTATGACTTATGACATGTACGGAATATTAAAATATACGCATTTTTTCTTGCATTTCATTTAAACTTATTGGATTGAATTAAATCTACTTCGCCGACAGCGCATAAACCACAATAGAATAAATGCATTCTTTAAAATCCCCTCCATTTGTTTACCATAGCGACACTCTGGCGCTAGATTCATTTAACAGTATTATATTTCGTTCATATTATAACACAGAATGCACAAAATTTATATCATTTAAAGAATTATCTAATCGTTGCCACATGTTCTGTTCAAATACTATAATAAAGCTAGAACGATGTATAAAAGAAATTAAGCAAACAAAACGAAAAAGAAACAGTTTTTCACAGACGATTGAGTACTTCTCATTCAATTAATTCAGTTCTCACTTCGTGAGAACGCAAAAATACATAAAAACTCAAAATATCTATATTAAAAATTACGATGTAAATCTTAAACGCTTATTTCCTCGAAAAAATTCCAGAAAGGATTAAGCATGATTTAATTGGCAATAATAAATGAAGGCGTTATCTTTGTTGTTGCGAAGCTAAGTTTCTCTAGATTGGCAACAAATCCACAAGTCTGCTGTTTCAAATGTAAACGATCAGTGGCCGCCATCATATAAAAAGGCTTAGCGGCACTTAAACAACTTTAAAATTGCTGATAATTCTAAAAATATTGCATACGGATTACTAAAGGCATAAAAACCTTAACTGGAAGATAAAATTAACATAATTCAATCATTTTTAAAGCAAAAAATGTACAATTTACAAACATATAAGAGTAAAGAAACTGAGATCACTGAGCAGGGTAACAGAGTGTATATATATACGTATATAATTATATTTATATACGTTTGGTGCGGCCGATTGCAACCAAAATACGAGGTGCACATCTACATGTTATATCAGTCCTATATACAAAATTTTAACGTTCTGAAGCCACTTGTTTTTGAGTTATGCGAGATACCTACGTACGTAGGTACGTACGCACGTTCGTACAGACGCCACGAAAAATTCTCTTCAGAATTAATTTTAAAGCAGTTTTAAAATTTTTTTGGAGGAAACGAGTCTTTTATTCTGTCCTTACGTACAGATATTACGCAAAAACATCGTTAAATTGCATTCGATAGCGGTCAAAATGGATATTTTCGTTGAAATATGCTGCCTGAAACTTTTCGCGATTACAATACTTCCTTTTCACTTCGTACGAGGAAGTAAAAAACTATCTAAAAGTAATAGATCGCTTAATACAGGATTACATTTCTATTATCACCCTTTTTTTGTAAACATCTATATGTATATGAGACGCGATATATCGAAAGTACATCGACGTGGGTTTCCAAAGCACTATTCTGTGTTATTTCATAAAAATTAAAAGTAAAATGTGATAAAAAAAGTATTGTTTTTGTTTTTTAGATTGCACTTGTGAGAAGGGAAACTGTGTTAAGGACAAGAATGGTAGGTCATTCTGCCAGTGCCCACCTGAATATGGATTGTACGATGTTGCAACTTGCAAAGGTATCCACTTTTAATTATTATTTAAGTCCTTTTAATTATTATTTAGTACTTATTTAAGTCCACTTTTTATGTTATACGTTATTTGCACCCCCATTTTACTAAACTTTATAGAAATTTCCTTCGGATTCTTTAGCGGAGTTTTTTAGCTTTTCAACACATTATTTTTGTTTTGTTTTGTTTTATTGATATTAGACGTGTCTGCAGTTCTTCATATTTTGCATTACTTTAAATTAACCTATCACAGCATTGCTCATCGATTGTAGATTTCTAGTTCCAACAACTATTGAAAGTTATGTGGTAGAAAAGTTTTATTTTATTCTTCTTGGAAATCAGCCAATTCTGATAACAGTTATTAATCTTAGAGATGGTGCGTTTTTGGCACTTATCTGTTTTCCTGAGGAAATACATGCGGTAATCGCTAATGTAATTTTTAGGAAGATCGGACTAAGAGTTATTCAGTGGCGTGGCTAGAGCTTTTTCCGCTCTTGGTGTTTCTTTATTTTACTGCTTCTCTTGATATCCAAAGTAACAATTTCAAAATTACATATAAGGGAATAAATTTAAACTCTATGTGTATTTCGGAAGAAACATTTAAAGTCCAAATCTTTATATTATATTGTTGCGGTTTTTGTACTTATTTAGCTGTTTTTAGCAGAATTTGTAATTATAATTGCCTTGTATTCCCGTACGCACGCAAAAGATTTTGGTGTCAGAAGTGGGATTTAGCAGTTAAGACTGTTGATTGCAGCCTTTGCTTCATTTAAAGGAAATATGAGAGCTGGTCAAGAAAAAGATTGAAGCAGAGCAATAAGACATGAAAAGAGAAATTACCTGCATAACAGAAAATAAATTTTAGGTAATGGAAGAACAGACGCCGTTGAAAATAAAGTTGGGCCACTTCTGACATTGAAGGAAACGTTTCTCCTGTCAAAGAACAAATATAAGAGAGAATTTCGGCCGTACAACAAGAAACCGATTATACAGTTTTTTCTGTAAAAGATCAAATAGAAAAAAGAGTTTCTGCTGTGGAGCAACGAATAGAAGGAAGAGTTTCTGCCGTTCAACAACCAAATTGATGACAGGGTTGGCTGCTGCCGTCGCCAAAGAAGTTAACACTCTCAATAAGTGCATAACGACAGCAGGAAAGAATCCTGAGGGTTTTAAATTTTTACTCATGCTTGCTCGTCCCTCACTGAAGCTATCCACGACCTCCTGGCAAGTACATAAGACACAATTTTCTATAGTGGCAGATGCGAATGGATGGGATTCCCAAGCTAAAGCCTGTCATCTCGCCGCTTCTATGAGAGCAGATGCAGCGGATATCCTTCAGACTCTTCCCGAAAACAAAAGGCTAGATTTCGACGCCCTGTCCGGCGCGTTGGAGGAACTGTGCTTTAGGGAGAAGTGTTTAACCCTTTAACTGTCAAGTTATTTTGATGATTTGGGTACACAAATTGTCAAATTTTTTTATTGGAAAAACCAAATGTAGCCGAAATAAACATCTCCCGATATATATTCGGGTATGACAATACGATGCACTCAAAATTAAAATTACCCCGAGAAATACTCGGGCGTGACATTTTCGAACACCAGTGGGGCATGACAGTTAAAAGGTTAAAAGAACCCAGCAGGCTTCAATTAAAGCCTCCTCCTGCCATGAGTGGTGGCAGCAACGGACTCTTCATCATGAGACATATCCCCGCAATATGACCATCGAATACGGGAGCCAACGTTACCATCATCAGAAAAGCTATATATTTTATGTTTATTTCTCGTTTGTGAGCTACTTCTCAGGAAGTACTATTTCATTCGAAATGCAACTGGAGAAATTTAAGTATGAGAACACAGAAACTACATATAGTTAAAGGAGAAAAGCTATATATTTTATGTTTATTTCTCGTTTGTGAGCTACTTCTCAGGAAGTACTATTTCATTCGAAATGCAACTGGAGAAATTTAAGTATGAGAACACAGAAACTACATATAGTTAAAGGAGAAAAGCTATATATTTTATGTTTATTTCTCGTTTGTGAGCTACTTCTCAGGAAGTACTATTTCATTCGAAATGCAACTGGAGAAATTTAAGTATGAGAACACAGAAACTACATATAGTTAAAGGAGAAAAGCTATATATTTTATGTTTATTTCTCGTTTGTGAGCTACTTCTCAGGAAGTACTATTTCATTCGAAATGCAACTGGAGAAATTTAAGTATGAGAACACAGAAACTACATATAGTTAAAGGAGAAAAGCTATATATTTTATGTTTATTTCTCGTTTGTGAGCTACTTCTCAGGAAGTACTATTTCATTCGAAATGCAACTGGAGAAATTTAAGTATGAGAACACAGAAACTACATATAGTTAAAGGAGAAAAGAGATTATTCTTAATCATCAAAACTGGAATTATTTATGCAAAACAATAAAAGCTTCTCGACTGAACTTTTGTTTTGAAATTCTTCCATTTGCTTTTCCTCAGAATGCAACTGTGGCAAAGGAGCAGCTTGCACTTTCCAACCAGTTTTGTTCAGAGGAATAAGCAAAACCTGCATTTGCAAAGAAGGATACAAAGATGTTGAAGGCACTTGTACTGGTGAGTTCATTTTATTGACTTTAATCCTTATGCTTTTTAAACTATATGATTGAATTTAAGTCGGCTGTGGGATTTAATTATGATATAAGGAAAGCAAATGCCATGTTTTTCTTCCTCGCATAATTGCCCTTCAGTGGTTTCAGCATATCAATTAGAAGCTACTAATTTATGATAACAATGTGAAATGTCTGCACAAATAGTAATTAATTTTGTGTAAGTAAAAGGAATTCTATTGGAAATGATAATACGTAAAATGATAATATTAGTATATCTTTATGTGTTTCTTTTATGTGTTGTGTTTATCTTTAAAGACATCTTTTCAGAAATAATATACAATGCTTAATTTTCCTCTCACGGTTTTCAAACATTAAAACTAGCAATAACAGGTGTAAAATACGCAAGTAAATGTTATAAATCAAGCGTTTTTAATTACATTTTTCCGTTTGTAATGATTTTAAAGTAATCTTTAAGAGGAAAAACAATGATAATAAATGAAATGAAGAATTAAAAAAAAAATGCAATAAGAAGTCACCCAAAAAGGTTGAAATTTTTTTTTTTTTAATTATATAAAAAGGAGCACCTAAAATGAGAGTCTGCATTAATTTTCATGTGCATTAAATGCTACTGTCATAGAATGTTATATAGCACCTTCGAAAGGAAAACATGTAAGCAAAATTTATTAACCATACATGATCTTACTATATGAATTTCATAAATATTACTCTTAGGTATTTATTTGATATTACATTTACTGCCGACAGCCACAGAGCTGTTCCACTGGGGCGGTAAGCACGTCAATAGGGTAACCCCACTGATAGAACTATGTTCAAAATTGTTTCGATCCTTGGTGAAGGGACAAGTTAACAGATGCATTTCATGTCCTTTCTAGCGCAAGAGGGGAGGGAGTGTGGCAACTGCTGAGCGAGTGAGTAGTTCAAGGACGAATAGAGGGTGCAAAGCAGGTGAAAAAATGTTTTGCAGTGTTCTTATTTTGCTGTGCAGTCCTGAAAAACTGCTTGATCCAGGCCTTAGTTTCTAAGGAGTAGAGGTGTCGAAGCACTGCGAAAAACGGACAGGAAAGAGGAAAAAAGATAAATAAATAAATGAAATCGTTAGTAAGAAAATTAAATAATTAATAATTAAATAATTAATGGTGATTTTTAACATAATTTTATTACTAAAAATATCATTTTTGCAATCGAATTTCTACTGCAGTTCAGTTACGTAAAAGAAGTACCGGAGCCTTCTTATGTAGGCTCCGACTAGAATTATTATTTACCCTAAAAAATAAGAAGTACCGGATTCCGGCGCAATTTAATCTATCGCTTAATCACTGTAAATATTAGTTATGAATTATGATTTAGTCTATTATTAATTAGTTATATGTATAAGAGTTTTTAAGCTTGTTACTAGTTATGTTTACCAAAGCGTGCTAATATTTCGTATAAGAGCTGTGTAAGTACTGGCAAGTGTTTTCTGGTTGTTTGAGTACAATATTATAACTGATTTCAAATTTTGCGAATATCATTTTATTTTGAGGTATACTGAGGAAATGTCAGGGTAATTGGATCGAGTCGGAAGACAATGGATTGGATAATGAAGGTGAAAGTAATGTGCTGAGTCTCCATTCGAAGAAAGAATGATTTACTGCAATCCCAAGACGAAGAATATTATAAAGCAAGAGATGGTTAAGCACGCGAGGGGGGGAGAAAATATTATGACAGTATACCAACATCCAAAAGAAATTTTAGCTATTTTCTGTCACATTCAGCATGCTAGTGAAATTTCTTTTTATGTTAATATAAAGAAGCTGCGCAGCAATTAAAAGATTCGTGAACTGTTACATATAGCGAGATAAGAGCAAAAGGTCAATCATTTATCAAACGTTTTAAAATTTTGTCAGTTAATTTTGTTTGTCTTGTAATACCTTAACTAAAAATATAAATATCAAAAATTTATACCAAAAATTTAAATATTAAATAAAAATTCAAACATTTGCTTTTTACGTTATCACATTTTGTCCTTTAGTATAGTTTAAATTGTTTTTTTTTTAATATTTTTAATGATGAATGAGTTGTATGTATTTCTGTTTCTACTGCAGTCATCTTCAAACAATTAGAGGTTTTGTAAGTCATTTTTACTATCATGTGAATAACAAATTGATACAGCTAAAATACAAAATTAAATAACCTTTTTATTTATGTTGCAATTGTTATTCAATAATATGAAATTTTTCTCTTTTTATGAGTATATTTGCACATAAATATTGGTCTTCCCTTTATTTTTCCTGTAAAGTACACGTAGTACTTCTGTATGTTTAATGCTTCTAAAATCCATGTTTTCTTCATCATTGTTACGCCTGAATAATGGAAGCTTTTCTAATTTCCAGATCAGTGCACTACTAATCCTTGCCGCAATGGTGGCACTTGTGTGAATAGTTACGAATGCAAATGCCCATCAGGTTACGTAGGTCCGAAATGTGAAAGAAGAAAAGGTAAAATCGATTAATAATACTTATTCGTACTTGTTTTGGAACTTTTGAGAAAGATTAAAATAAGCATAAACATTTTAAAATTATGTTTAATTTAAAACTGAACATTTAGTAACTAAAGCATCAGTTAGTGTTTCTTTTTTAGGTGTCCAAGATTATTTCTAAGAGAATATAACAAAAATTCTACTCTTCTTCAGGGAAACGAAATGAGCTCTACTGATTGAAATAGAAAATAATATAGAAAAAGAAAATGATTATCTGAATAAATGGAATAACAAAGAAGATCTGGCAATCTTGAATTCTTAATGTTTTGAAAACAAAATACCTGAATATGCTTTTATAAAAATGAGTGGCAATAAAAATTTAGCTGCAAGAATACTGTGGATCGGCAAGGCGAAATTTATATATTATAAAGATATTCAACAATGCATAGATAGCAGTTTGAAGATTTTTTAGAATATCAAAATCCTATTTTCCGCGTTCCATCATGATCGAAACTCGAAAAAATATAAAATAAGAAACAGATACATATACACAGAGCTTGAGTTTTATAGTCTATATTTGTTTGTTTCTTCTTAGGAGTTTTGTACCTATTTATTAGAACCATCTATTTATTAGATCTTATTCGTAGTTTTATGTCTCTTTATTAGGTTATATCTATTTATTAGATCTTATTCGTAGTTTTGTATCCATTTATTAGATTCCATCAATTTATTAGTTCTTATTTATTCGCAATTTTGTATGCATTTATAAGATTCCATCAATTTATTAGTTCTTATTTATTCGCGGTTTTGTATCCCCCCATAGTAAGTTGAAGTTTTGTATCCATTCATTCATGTTTGCAATTCGTTATTTTATATTTGATATTACTTATGTTTACAAGCATATTTAAGTCAACATTTTTTTACGTGTTCCTGAAAACCCATGAAAGAAATGCATGCTAACGTCATAAAGTTAAAAGAAGGAAAACCTTTAATATTTGAAAGGTGCGCCAAAATTCAACGAAGTTCTGAAAATAGTAGCTTTGTGCAAAATGGTTCATTACTGGAGATTCGCGTTGTGCATCCGGAATTCATTTTATGGAATAATAGATATTCTGATTATGAATGAAATGTGTGATTCAGATGAGGTATTGCGAAGAAAGCCTTTTTGTGCAAAACCCTTCTATACTAGAGGTTCACGTTATCAATCCGAAATACATTTTATGAGATAATAGATGTGTTGATTATGAATGGAATGTGCAATTCAGATGTGGTATTGTGAAGAAATGACAAATACAAGAGCATAGTTTGCAACAATTAATAAGAAACAAGTTTGCTTTTACGTATATTGTACGTATATCTTAGATAAATTTGACAATAAGGTCGCAAGAGTGGTTTCGGGGAAGCGAGAAATTATTTACACCAGATAGAGTACTATAAACTAAATCTGTTGGTAAGCGACACAGAAAAATGTACAATGGATCCTGCTTATTTAAAAGTATACAAAGTTAAAAAATTAACCATATAATCGATGTAAGTTGGCGATTGTAGGATCTTCGAAATATCAAACTTCTGCCAAGGTTCGTCAGATAATTTGTCTTGAAATTCAAAAACTTCATATTTAATATTTTGAGATTATCTGTAGATGTAGTAGCTAATTTTATTTCATATCGTTCCTTCAGTAGGTGGAGAATTAATTGCATTATTCTCAAACCAATCTTGACTTTAAGATATATCAAACGTATTAACTAAGTAAATGAACAAAATCAAGATTTGTAGATTGCTACATCTTAACTATATAAAGGCAAGCGAGAAATAATTGTCAGCTACACATTCAATAACTGTATTGCACAGAAAAAAGTCTGTTGATTAAGTGTCGTACTCTTTCTTTATTATCTGTGTCCGGTTGCCAGCTTTAGATGATTCACTGTTTGATGACTAAAAGTGATTTAAATGCTAGTTATTGCCCTTGACTGATTTCCGTTACATACAGCGAATCATCCACATTTAGACATTGTTGAAGCGAATCATCCACATTTAGACATTATTGAAGCGAATCATCCACATTTAGACATTGTTCAATTGAATTTTTTTCCCTCGGTCTAATGCTGTCAACAATACCTTCTTTACCTCTCTCGTTATTCTACCAGCTTGGTTTCCGTCGCCACTGCCCTGTTTTCTTTTATTTCCTGAGATCATTTCATCAGGTCTCTCTTTTTTCGTCTGCTTCCTTTTCTTCTGAAAAGAAGGAAGCAGATAAAAGAAGAATTTAACAGAATTCTTCCAAAAGAAGAAAAGGAAGAAAATCCTTTTCTTCTTTTACCTCATCATAAAATCATAGTTTTCGACAACAAAGAAATAGTTAATCATGCACAATAATATCCAAAGAGCATAAAAACATTCAAGTCACTCAGTTTGCTGTACGCTATATCCATATATTAACTGCTGTCTGGAGTAATCAGAAGGGGCAATTGTAGTATTAATAATTCGAAATTAATTATCTATGAAAAATCGGGTTTAGGGAATATTAATGCCAAACTTCATGTTCTATATTTTCTACATTTGTCAAAGATATCTAGAATACCTTTATTATACCTATATTTATCATACCTTAATTTCCAGATTTTTTTTTTCATAATTTTTGTGAGAGCCTCTGTATCGACAATGCCAGTTATTTTTATGTCTTTTCAGGCTGTGAATGTGAAGATGGCAAATGCGTTAATGAAGTCTGCACGTGCCCAAAAGGATTTGGTCTTCGTCACAACACAAAATGTTTAAGTATGAATTAACATTTTATCTTTTTCCTTAAACACATAAAACACTTCTAATAAAGAGGAAAATAAAATTATGCACTTCGGGATCATTGTGATTAAATCAGCAGAAATAGTTTCATTGCCAAATGGCAAAAATTATACAAACGGATAATCTTGGATCCAAAAACTGTTGTTTTCAAAAAAGTAGAGGTATGCAAAAGATATAGAAATTGACATAGTTCTACTCCGCGAAGGACTATAGGTGTAGAAAGAGGAATATAAGGCTTTACCGTGAAATACTATTTAAGATATATTTTTATAGGGTCTTTATTATAGGGATAGGATATATATACAATTTTAGCTACTTTATTGTAGCAATTTATAAAGACATTATAGGAAATAAGAAATTAACATGCCCAAGGGCATTATGTTTATATTGGTAAAAAACTCAAAAAAACCTAAAAACAGTACTCAAGAAGCAAGATTATCAAACTGTCTTTTGTGGTGATGGTCGGCGGATGAAGAAACCTACTTATTTTAAAAGAAAATTAAATTAAATTTTAATTTTAGGCAAGTTAAATAATTTCTTCATCCTTCTGAAAAGCTAATACAATGATAAAATACCATTTCGAAGAATATGCAGAGAAATTTGACAGGTATTTCAACGCTTCCAAAGGTAGAGCAAAATTACTTACTTTTTTAAGAATCTGCATGAAAATTGAGGGTTTGGATTAGCCGCGACCTGCTTCCCCGGTATTAGCCCAAATAACAGAGAATACACTGTAATTTCAATGCTTTTGTAAAACTGATAAAATAGCATCAACCCTCTTCCTTCAATGAAATAAAACTGATAAAATAGCATCAACCCTCTTCCTTCAATGAAATAAAACTGATAAAATAGCATCAACCCTCTTCCTTCAATGAAATAAAACTGATAAAATAGCATCAATCCTCTTCCTTCAATGAAATAAAACTGATAAAATAGCATCAACCCTCTTCCTTCAATGAAAAAAGAGACAGTGTTTGTATTAAGACAAGTAAAGCCAAATTCAGGTAACTATTTTCTTTAGATACTTCTCACTGAAGCACCTAAACAAAATAGAAGTAAATATTCAGCTGTGTTGAGTTTAAAGCATAGTTCAGCGTGAAGAAAAATCCTAAAAATAGGGCTATGTGACAGACGGCAAATGTCCCCAATTTTTCTAGTACTTCCTTATCTGTTTTTAATGAAATACAGAAGGTAGATTTTCCCTTCCATTCGCTTTTCGAAATGGCATAAATCACTCTCAGAAAATTTATGTTTTTGAAAAAGAATGCATTTTCTTTATGCATAACTTCCAATTTCAGAGTGCAACTGTGGTGAAGATAACGGCTGCAAATTTTCTGCCTTTTGGGGCATTAAAACCTGTCATTGTAAAGAAGGCTACAAAGAAATCCAAGGAGTCTGTGTGGGTAAGTTGTCATCACGTTATTTACGCTCCTTGTGAATATCAAGCTAGGTTACAAGCCTTGGTGGCGTAACGATAGCACATTCGGCATGTATTCGAGAGGTCCAGGTTTGAGTCTCGGTGAGGACATTGCTCATTTTTCATGAACCCTGCTTTAAAAAAAAAAAAAAAAAAAAAAAAAAAAAAAAAAAAAAAAAAAACCTAATGACACTACAGTGGCGCCAGAATTAAATTGTTGTGAGCAATACTTCATCACCACCAGAATTTGTCGACTGGGTCCCCAAATCCTAAGTTCCTCTTTGAAAGGTGCGAGTATATAAGGTATACTCTCCCTCCTTCCAGCATGCCTTCGTGGTGTAACGGCAGCACACTCGGCGCGTGTGAGGTCCAGGTTCGAGTCTCGGATAGGGCGTTGCTCATCTTTCATGAATTCTGCTTCAAAATAACCTAATGACTCTACAAGGTTAAGTAATTTGAATACTGTAAACCATACGAGAACTCTAAGGGAATGCATGCCTCTGGAAATCACTTATTAAGGAAAACTATTTACATTAAATATTGGGAACTATTTACATTAAATATTGGGGAAAATCATAGAAACCAACCCGCCTTTACTCTTGGAATTGAACTTAAGTTGAACTTCTAGTATTCAGCGGTCATAGCCCCTCGGCCACTGCTGGGGCAATTAATATCAGAATGTTTAAACTATTTTGCCAGAACTTATTAAAGGAACTTTATTCACAAATTACTTCACTTGACTTTTCTAAATATTTATTTACTTTTAATTATAACTCCCTGAATATTAAATATTGACTCAACTAGGTAATTCAAAAACAAAGTGAAGAAGTCATTATAATTTCATAGGCTCGTGAGCAAAACATTTTGATGAATCATGATACACAACATATTTATTAATATTTATAAATATTTTTTGCTATATATATGCAGCCAGCATCCAGTAAAGCGAAATTTTGATGCCTCTGTGGTGTATCTTAGCTTAATCACTTCGTCTGCATACAGGAAAAATACAAATCTAGTCAAATCTAATTAACTTGTATTTTTGTTCACGGCGTAACAAAGAGATGCCCAGAATTTACGAATCTTAATTCACATACGATCTCTTAAACTAAATATTTCAAATTTAATCTTTAGCTTCTATGTTTGTTTAGGTAGAAGCAATTTAATTTTAAATTAATAATGTATATTTTCTTATACACTTTTCCAGACTCGTGTCTCGTCAGTCCCTGTCAAAACGGAGGGACTTGTGAGAATTCATATACTTGCAGATGCTCAGCTGGGTACCGTGGTTTGAAATGCGAAATGAAAGGTAGGAAATGCACTATTTTTTCCTTCAGTCCCATCATACTTTTGATTTGGTTGGAAAGATCCATATTTTAAGGCATGGAAATGCCTTATAAGACAGTATGTGAAAATTAAGCTACATAAAACATTTATAACCGCAAAACAATAAATGACGTCATATTTGTATTATTTCATTTCATTTTAAAATTTAGTTTGATACTTCTCTTTTTTGTGCAAGTTAAGGCAAATGTTTCGTTCATGTGATCTTGGAAATTTGATGAGTTTCATTATCCATTACATATGGAAAAATATTTAAATCTCCCTTACGTATGTCATTAAATAAACGACTTAACGTAGAGTGTACAGAAATTAATGTTTCACGATCATCTTTAGTCCGATGACAAAGGGAAAACAGGAAGATTATTACATGATGATGATGTCGTGTCTATGACAAAGTGCAATTATATAGCTTCGAAGCTGTCAAAGACAGCCCTTGCAACCTCGGCAGCTCTATCAGTATAAAGTAGGTCCACTGGGTCTTCAATGCCGATGTTAAGCAGCCTGGCCTGGATTGCTGGGCAGCTGAAAATGTGATTGCAAGACAGTGGGATGTCATCTAGGCACTGGGGACAAATGTTGGTGTAACTACGCTGTCCGTCTGCAGAAATCCTCATCCCTTTTAAGTGATTTGTCCTAAGCCTGGTTATGATAGTCGATATGGCTCTGTCACAGTTCAATTCCGGGATGGAGTTTCCCTTAACTTGACCGATTAGTCTTTGGCTGGCGACTGCATTGGCATCAACGAGGGTTAGGCAGTTGGACGGCTGAAGAGAATCACGGGATGCCTTTGCAAGCTCATCGGCCTTCTCATTACCAAAAATATTTACATGAGCCGGTATCCATTGTTAGATGCAGCATCTTTGCGCAGCAATGATTTTGTTTGTGAGCTCAATGATCACAAACAAAATCATTGATTATTTATTACACGTTCCTTCAATATGATTTCTGTGATTAAAAAGATAGTGTAAAATTAATCTAAAATTTTTCACAGAGCTGTTTACGGGGCAGTTGAAGACCTTCGTTCCATTCTGCCAATCTTCCAGTACGAAGGGATCAAGCGGAAAAGAAATTTCATCCAAAGTGAAGAGATTTCAAAGTGAAACTCCAGTAATTATTTGGATAGTATAATATCAAGATACCACTTCACTTAGCTATCAGAATGTTATAAGATTTGGTGTAAGTTCACTTCGTTTGCTCATTTCATGGAAATTTTGATACTGTTAACAGAGTTACCGAAATACTTTGACAGTTCGGAAAAAATTAATCAAATGATTATTTGCAAGTAACACAGAATTATGTTCGTTTTTTTACAGCTATTTTTTTAAAGCACCCGAAGAGTAACTAATGGAAGTTACCGCTTAGGAGAGAATATTAAATTTTAAAAGCAACGAACGCATCTCTTCAGCGTAATGCGATGGACAATTTTCGTTTAAGTGACTGTAAAGTTTACAGTAGAGTTTTAGAAATTGTGGAAAATTGCACAGATACCAAGTCTTCTCCTCCAAGATTAAAACTGGCACTTTTCTCTAACAGAGGATTTTGAAAAAGAAGATATGTAATTATTTTCTGTTAATTATTTTGCGACATATGTCTTCATGTGATGAAGCGTAATTCAGTTTAGATATTTTACCGCCATTTACTTGCTAAGACTCTTTTTTATGTACAGACAGCTTCTTACGCTTGCACAGGTATAATGCGCCTCTTATTTTCTGCTTCTTCGTCTGATCATTCTTACGGAGCTATGTATAGGAACTGGCATTCGACGGGTGTTGCAGAAATTTTTGTTCCAGTCCAATATTAGCTTAATTAATCTTACTGAGAGACTTTGAAGCTTTCAAATCTTTAGTTTATTTCTGGGACGTTGTTATCCAGACTTTCGTTGTTACCCAGAACGAGAGTTCATGCATAAATTCTATTTTAACAGAAAAATACTATAAATGCAAATAAATTTAGTAACACAACTTGGAGTTATTGTATTCTGTTCCTTTTGCTGTAGATCTTTGGTAAAAACTAAATATATGTACTCCATATTATACATACTTTCGTTTACCTATAACAGTGGTCGACTTATTTAATTTTTTAAATAAATAACTGGAGCCGACACTATCTTTTTTTTTTTTTTTTTTTTTTTTTTTTTTTTTTTCAGATTACTGTAGCAACGTTGGTTGCCAACATGGTGGAACATGTAGCAACACAGACGAAACATTTTCCTGTAACTGTCAACTCCCTCATATCGGAAAGACATGCCAGAAAGGTATGCATTGTTTAAATACTGTTCCTGTGTCTAACATTATGTAAAATATGGTAATGAATTGTTATATTTCTTCTATGTAACAAGTAGAGAATGCATTTCTTAAACTTTTAGTTGCAAGCAGCTGTTGGTTTTGAAAGTATTCTTATAGATTAAATACTAGTCTAAAAGGGTTTTCATTAAAAACGATAAATAAAATTTTACAACTTACAGTCTCTTATCAAATAATATTGTAATACTTTTCATACTTATCATATAATATTGAGATACTTATCAAATAGTATTGAGATACTTATCAAATAATATTGAGATACTTATCAAATAAAATTGAGATACTTATCAAATATTGAGATTCTTATGAATCTAATATTGAGATACTTATCAAATAATATTGAGATACTTTTCTAAAATTTCAGCTTCAGAAGCAAGGAATGTGCTGCCTTATTTTCTCGTTTAAATGTTTGCTGCAGATCACTTATCGAAGCAATAAATTTTTACATGAAATGTACTGTAAAATTTATGAAAAAACTTATTTCTGAAAGTGGAAAAGAGAACTAAAATGCAATGAATAAAAATAAAAGTAAAATATATAATTTTATTATATAATTATGTAAGAGAAAAAACTTTTCAACTTAAAATAATATTTGAGCAACTATAATCCAGCAACCCCCTAAAACGCGACCTAATTAAAAATTGCAATTTCATATACACAACTACTGATTCAGATAAACTGCTGAAATAAATTTCACTTTGTATTTTGCTTTTACATATTTAGGACTCATGAAGCTGAAATTAAAGAATAATAAAGTTTCGTTTAAACTTAGAAAAATTACAATTTGATAAACAGTCCAAAGCTGTATTTACTCTTTTAGAATTCATGACATATCTCATACTCTTCTAATGGGACGATGCTTAGAATGGGTCGTGGCCTTCCTTAGAAACTTCTCAGGTAAAAAAACGTAGAAATTTCTTACTATCCGTACGATCGAAGTTTTCCCCCAGTTGTTAATTCTAATTATGTTAAAGTTATTATCAATACTATCCAGCCGTGGAGACTTGAGCATGCTTTTCACTCGATTTTCCATTGGTTTCCAGGTTCATGTATGTAACTATCTAAAATTAAAAAATTTTGCTAATTAATAATGAAAAATTCTTTGTTTACTGTTAGAAAGGGTGATGTTTATTTCAAATGAAACCGCACGGAGTTCATTCCTTCATAAAATTTGATCATAGTAAGAGTTTCATTGTAGACAATACCAGTTACTTTTAAAAAAAATAAAAAAAAATAAAAAAAAAAAAAAAAGAATAAATTTTTTTTGACATTTTCCACTAATACTACTTTTACAATATATTTCAAAATAGATGTTCATTGTCTGATATGAGCAGTTTCTGGTATTAGACCAGTCTGTGCTTATGCCATAGGTATATCTGATATTTTCGTCAAACTAAATTATATCTGAAATTCTACGATTTCCAGACTTCTAGAAAGTTCCAAAATTCTAAGGTATTTCGAAGATACTGCCCACATTTTCATGCGCGTCATGCAGCGATGTTTATTCTTGTTTAAGATCGATTAAAGCCTGTACTTGAAATACGTTAATGAATTCACTTCTTATAAATCTGCAGAAACTGAGATGGATTTCACTGTGAACAGAAAAATTGCTCATGATGATTATCTCTTAATTTTCTGTGTATTCTTATACTGCCAGTCTAATTCTCTGTTGAAACAACTCTTCAATTTTTATATAACTGTATTCTTTTTCACATTTTCAGAAATCTGTGACTTTAATATCTGCAGGAATAATGCAGCCTGTGAATACAGAGAAGATGTAAATCATTTTAATCAGAATGGACCTCTTGATATATTCATACACTCATTCATTGAAAAGTTTGTTAAATGCAATTGCACCTACCCATATAGTGGAAAATATTGCGAAAAACGTAAGATGTAATGTTACTATTATTTAATTTTTTTAAAGAAAATTCATTTGAATTTGATTTATTTGAATGTTTATCTTTAGCACCAGGCACATGTGACTCGAACCCATGTCAGAACAATGGATTATGTATCGAAAAGGATTCAGACACAGAGTGTATGTGCCCACCACCTTTTGCCGGCAAAAACTGCGAAATAGGTAACCAATTTAGTAAAACGCGAATATAATTGTTTAAATTGCTATTGAAGTTTCAATAAATACACTACTACTTCAGAATCCTAAAAAAGTGCGTATTTTCTATATGTTATTTACTCTTGTAAAAAAGGAGAAATTATATCAATCATTAAGAATACTTCATTTTGTCATTAATTTTTGGTCACTTTAAAATATTAATTATACTCTAGGCCAGGCGTCGGCAATTTATGGCACGCATGCCGCGGTAAAGTTCTCAATGTAACTACATCACTCTATTAAGTTATCAGATAATGATAAATCGTCATGTCTCTCGTCTCTACGTCGTCCCACCTCACGCCTCGAGCATCTTCTCGCCTTTGGTTCGATTCGCAAGGCCGATATACGAGTATCAAGTGTGATTTAGTCCAAATTAGAAATTAGTTTCATGCACATTGCGAACTATAAATTACTTTTACTTTTACGACGCCATCCACTGCGAAAATTTGCATTTTATTTGTTTACTTATTATTACAATTCATACCTCTTGATGTTCGTGATTTTCAAGATTCTTAGATGAATGAATATGGATTAATACAACAAAAGGATCGTGCTGTATGTGTGTTATGTCGCGAAAGCGTCGTAGATCACACGTCAAGTGTATACATTTTCAAACTAAACATGAGTGCGCATTTTAGAATTCCGGTGAAAAATATTAAGTTATAAAAAGATCTATTAATAGACATAAGAAATAAGTTACATTTTTTGTCACACAATTGGAACCAAACTAAAATATGTAGACCCGATGTAGTTTCATTATTGCTTATTATGTAGCTGCCAAATGCAAACCTTTCACATAAGGCGAATATATAAAGGACACATTTTTAAAAAAGGTTGAAATATTGCTCAGCGATTTAGCAAATCTAGAAACAATATTATTCCGAATTAAAAAAGTTACAGGCTTCTGCGCGAACTATTGAAAGACAAATAATTTAAATTGCAGAAATGTAACAACAAAACAGAATTCTGGAAATTACAGGAAACTATGCCTTTGAGCAGCATTCTTGAAAGTACTACTGTAAATGATGTTGGCGCGACTTGCAGTAATTGCTCGATCTTGCCATAAAGTTTATGAAGAATTATGCTACTTCATTCCCCTGTCTGCCACAATCATTGCCTTAAATCATTGAAAATAATTTATTATTTTGAAAGTAAAAACATTAATATAAACAACATATTTTGTGTAACTACCGAGGATCTAACTGCAAGGGCTGACAAAGAAAGGGGATTTGTCAAACTTACTGAAAATCATATTGGACACAAAGAATTGAACTTCAATTGCATAATATATCAGGAAAGTTTAATTGCCAAAGTTTCGTCGCAGCGCTTAATTTATGTAACGAACACTGTTGTTAAAATAATTAATACGCGGATTTCCCCTTATACAGCCATGTCCGTTGGCTTAGTCGAGTTAATGTCTTGAATAAATTCGTGCCATACAATGAACACATTTAAGTTCTTCTTAATAAGGAGAAACATTTCCCCGAATTTGACGATAAAGAATGATTGTGCAAATTGATGTTTCTGATTGATATAACTAAACATCTCAATGGTCTTATCTTAGGATTACAAGGAAAGGGAAAAAGAGTGCTTGAATTTTTTTAACATTGGAAAGGCTTTGCAGCAAAATTAAATATATTTTCCCGTGATAATAATACTAACACCTATAAATTCTTCCCATCTGTTAAAGCGCTTATTACACATCGACATTAGACAAAGAGGATCTTCAAACGTACGCTGAAGAACTTAAAAAAGAATTTTCCAAAAGATGCAAAGACTTTGAAGTTTGTATGTCTATATTTTCCTTCGTAAGCAAACCAGATTTAATAGACCCATTACTACCCATTCAGTTTGTCAATTTTTGAGTATATGGAAGTTGATAATTTTGGTTTGGAACTTATTGACTTAACATCTACAGAATTATGGAAAAAATTTATGGAATTACGAAACAATATGGAAGATAATTATGATAAATCGACAGCTATTTTAAACTGCTGGATGCCATAAAAGAGATTTAATTGTTTGAAGAAAATTGCATGTTCTCTTCTTTCCACTTTTAGTTCTACATATCTATGTGAACAAATCTTTTCTAATATGAAAAATATTTTAAATCCACAAAAGCAGTTGTTCTTCTACTGTACTTTCAGAATTATGTGTCAAACTGAATGTTACAAATTATATCCCTGATAATGCGATATTAAGTAAAGCAGTGCAGAGACAACATTAGCTTAAAATTTGATTTTTTATTTAACTATATTGAAGGAATACCTATATTTCATGTTGTTTATTTTTATTTTAATAAAATATGTTTAAAAGATACAATATACATAATATAGGTATAATTTTAATTTTGTATTTATGTTGAAAGAATAATTATAATTTATGCTATTTTCTTTTATGTTAATAAATATCTTTAAATGGGGCATTATTAATATTTAATAAAATTCTAAATCTGTATTATTGACCTCTATTTTAATTCTTATAATTAAGCATGAATTTTTAGATGTATGCAGTTTAAATCCTTGCAAGAATGCAGATTTAATGGATGGGAATAATAAAATATGTTTAAAAGATACACAATACATAATATAAGTACAATTTAAAATTTTGTATTTATGTTGAAAGAATAGTTATATTTTATATACTTTTATGTTAATAAATATCTTTAAATGATGCATGATTAATATTAAATAAAACTCTAAATATGTATTATTGACCTCTATTTTAATTCATTTAATTAAGCATGAATTTTTAGATGTATGCAGTTTAAATCCTTGCAAGAACGGTGGCACGTGCAGATTTAATGGATGGGAGTCTCTGAAAAACTGGGAGAAAGTAGTCACCTTTTGTGAATGCAAATTACCATTCTTTGGAGAATTTTGTGAGTTAGGTAAGTAGAAATAAAATCCAGCGATGAATGTATCTGCACTACATTACTGCATAGTGAGAGATTTTAAAATATACCTAATTGCGCTCTAGATATATGCAGTTCAAATCCCTGCCTGAATGGGGGAAGTTGCAAAGTCGTCGGAAATGTCTCGAAATGCACCTGTAAGAAACCATTTTTTGGAGAACATTGCGAGAAGGGTAAGAAAATCATTCTCAACTTCCACGGATAGAGGCTTTTTTAACGCCGTAACATTCCTTAGCGTAAATCACTATGATGTTAAAGTTTCACACATTCTGAAGGAAAGGAAGAGGGTAATAAAGCTAATAGTTAACTATAATGGAAAATGAAATATTCAGACAATTTTACAGGCCTCACAAAGTTTTATGTGAAAGCTCGGTTTAGAACTTTACCAATTTATCCTTACTCTAATTCTGTCCACTCCGCTACAGCGTTACCAAAGCAACATTAGCAATAGTCGCGGAAGTTAGATGTTTCAAATTCATTGGATCTCTGAACAAAGCTGTTACAAACATGGGATCATTAGATTCAGAGAAAAAAATCCTTAAGTGCTAGAAATAAAAGCAGTCGCCTGGCATATTAGTTTTTTAGTGACAGAATCAGGGTTAAGCCAGTTTTGAGGTAAATTATCAGTGAGTTGTAAACGCGGATTACTCTTTTATGGTGTAATGGTATTTAGTAACGCCGAGACAAGTAATTGAAATAAAGCATTACTGTAGCTGTCATTCAGGTGAAACACGCCTGAGTCTAATTGAATCGCAAGGTAAATATTTACATGTTGAGGAAGGCGCACGCAACAAAACTTCGTATCATATGGAAAATTTTGAACAGGTCCCTTTCCATGAACTATTATTATATTATTCTACCCGTTTACGTTAGAATGCATTCATACTATGAAATTTGGAAAGCTATTATACTCTACTTGTATTTCATTTTATGGGTGAGATTTTAAACGATTTTTTAGATGCTTGAACATAAAATGTATGTACGAATGATGTCAAGAGTGAAGTTATTGAAGAAATTATGTTGTTGACGACGTTAGAAACGAGCTAACCAATAACTGTTCAGGGCTTAATTTTTAAAATTAGAAATGCAGGAGCCCCATGGAAGCCAATCAGAAAAGAGGCGCAAAATAAATGAATATAATAGCTCATAAAGTAATTAATAATTTAAAAAAATAATTAAAATCAAAATTCATTAAGATGTAATAAGATAAACAAAAAATTATTATATGCGGCTTAAGTGTCTGTCACCGATAGTTTATTGGTTGCTTGCGTAACTGTACTAGCCAATGGGGTTAGGTTGCCACGGCATTCAAATAGTCCATATACACTGATACCATACATGCAGTTATCATTGTTTTAATTAAATTATCATGGTATTTAAGAACATTTAAATATTTTTAATCCATACAATTGTTGCTTATTATGCATTTAACTATATTTATATATGAATTACCTAGAAACTTGCAAACGTTCATAAATTAAAGGAGACGAAACCAACTAACGAGTTGTGCGTAGTACATCTCATCAGGTAGGTTTACCCAAACTCCTATGCTAAATATCCTTTCTCGTAAAGAGTTTAAAATTTTGCCCGATTTTATTTCTACATTGTATTTTAAACTGAATTTTTCAGCTGAACGCGAAATGAGCGTGTCAGGGGAAGCGTGAACATTTGTTTGCATTAGCAATCATCGGTTTTTGAAATGGTTTACAACTGAACGCAAATTGAACTGAATTCAGTTTGAATTAGCAGATACCTTTGCACAAATCATTTTAATTACAATTTATAATATCTAGAGCAGCGGTCAATTCGTATGACCGCCAGGCTTTCTAGTAAAAAAATAACCAAATTATTGAAATGAAGACAAATAGTTTAATAATGAAATAAAATACCTCACTTTTTTTAGGGCTCCGATTGTAATTACACTTTTACTCAAAAACTAAAAAATAGCTCATCTGGGATTCGGCTGAATTTAACGTCAATATATAGTATAATGTAGTATTTTAAAGGATGATAGAAGGATAGGACACGTTTTTTGGCACATCAATGAAAAGAAGTTGATCAGTTAAAATGTCTTTAACCAAAAGAGAGAGAATGCTATACACGATATGAAATTATGGAAAGAGATTTTTATGAAGTTGTGTTAGTAAGAAAAAAAAAGAGAAAAATCCAAAACTTTCTGACCACAAGACTCAGCCGATATAAATATAGCTGTAAAGCAGTGTATGATGAATTTATGAAAGCGGGTAACGTTTTTGTTCCTGAAAGTACTAGAAATGATCATCCTAAGGGATGCAATCGTGGAGGTTCAACACTATAGATAGCGGTCAGATATGGATAGAGCTAGATAACAGGAGAAAAATTTCCTTAGAATCCGAAGCTTCATCTGGAAGCTGGGAACAAACGTAAAGTTCTGTACAAGAAGGTAATTTTTGTCCCTGTATTTGGTTACATCGCTCTAAGAAGGCAGCAGGTGCCTTTTCCCTTGAGAAGTCCATACCGTTGAATCTGCATTCTTGCATCTGTCCATAGCTCTATCCATATCTGACCGCTATCTATAGTGTTGAACCTCCACGATTGCATCCCTTAGGATGATCATTTCTAGTACTTTCAGGAACAAAAACGTTACCCGCTTTCATAAATTCATCGTATTTCTTAAAGAGCAAGTCTTTGGCATATTGATGAGGGCTTTTCCTGCATTTAAATGTCTAAGCCTCCGTCTAAGGGTTAGTTTCCCACAGAGAGACAGGTATTCATTCAGAAGTTAAAATCGGTTTGCAAGGCTTATTTTATTATTTAGGCTTTAAAATAAAATTTTTTATATCAAAAGAAGTTTTTGCTAAAATTGTGGTTCATAAAAAAGTGCCAGTTTGGTTTGGTTTAGTTTGTTATGGAAAAGCAGGCTATGTGCCTAAGAAGAGAGATGCAATCGGAGAGAACTTTCTAATGGAAACTGGCTAGGATACATGTTACACATGGGGAGAAAACAAGAATACGCAACGTGTTTTCTCTCATGTGTAAGATGTATCCTAGCCAGTTTCCAAAGCTGGGTATTTACTATAAGCTGGGTATTACTAGTAAATTCATTTGCTTACAGTGTCTTAGCGAAGTATTTATCTTTTTCTTGAATACATGAATGAACAGATTAATTTACGAACAGAATAAAAAAAAAAAAAAAAAAAAAAAACCTTTTCTATTTGCGTGATTAAATTCTGAATTTCACAACTGGGGGTTCTGATGTATAAAAAATCTTTAATACCTTCTCTTTATGGAGCATGCCTGCAAGATAATAGTTTCAGGAATGTCATATTCATTTGCAAGACAAGTTTACATCTTACTAATTTGAAATAATTTTTAGATCTAAATATTAGTTTTCTTTGACAAAACCTGATATATTGATATTCGTAAAAAGGAGTTTTCAAGTGAAAATAATTTTTGAAAGAGGCAAAATTATTTTATCGACTCCTGTTAAAAAGTGCAACTGCCAGCTAACAGTTATTTACTACAAAAAACTGAAATTCCATTTGCCTGGTTTCATGGTTGATTATATGGCGCACACTGCTTGAGAGAAATGCGTAGAAAATTCAAGGTATTCCTAACTCTCAGAGAAATAATTTTTTTGAGAGAAAATTAATTTATGTTGACAGATACTCATTTTGTGATGATATATAAGTGGGAAGTATTTTTCTCTGAAGTATGATACACATCAAGAAAAATTCAGTTATTCAAAATCCCGGTTTATTCAAAGTCGAGATACAGACGTTTCGTTGTCCGTTGTTCCGAATACATAATTTTATTACATTTATACTTATACAGTTTTAGTATTTATATTATCATAGTTTCACCAATTGCATTTCTATGATTTTAGATTTTAATACATCGTATTTCTAGTAAGAGACCAAATACAAAAGTAGTATCAAACAATAATGGCTAATATTACAACAGGAAGTCACAAATTAAAAACAATTGAAGCAAAATGTTAGGAAACAAAACTGAAATAAAAGGAAATTAATGCAAAAATAAAACAATAATCATAAACCATTAAATAGTAATTGAAAATAAGGAATAATAGTCGATAGTTCCATGGTCTCTGTCAAAGAGCAACTGAAGGAATTACTATTGATCCACGTTTCTGAATTATATTTGGATGAATTGCAAAATCAAATAATCAAACATATTCTTTTTTAAATCTAAATTTAAAATAATTAAATTAGAATATTTTTATATAAATGAAAGTGTAAAATTTTAAAAGACAGCCATCAAGTTATAACCTGCTCTGATGTGACTCAAGTGAAAATATGTACGTAATATAAAAAAGACAAACAATAAGACAAAATTTAAAAAAGAGGAAATTTTTTTTTTTTTTTTTTTTTTTTTTTTTTTTTTAAATTCTAAAAGTTAGTAACTTGGGATACCAAAGTTGTAAAATGTATAAGTTACTGAGACACCACAAAATTATAGAAAAGTCAAAATTGCCTAGGCTTTTGTACATGTAAAAATCGAAAAAATATTTAAGAGCAACAATTAAAAGGCAACTGAAATCTTAATTAAATTAAATATTTAGTAAGATTTATGAAAGAAAATACATAATCAGTGAAACCTAAAAAGGGGGAAAAGTACGGAGTCACGTACCAGCAAAACAGAAACGTTGCTGAAAAACCAAAGTAAAATTTAAAATTTAAAATTAAATTTTTGATCTGAGCATCTTCTGTTTCTGCTCTTCACATGCTTTTAGTACACGAATACGTAATTTTATCAGATACGCAATAATAAGTTCTTCGTTCTTTTTTATAACGTTTTTGAATCACATGTAAACACGATTTTACTGTGTGTTATAGTTATACCTGACTTCTATTTTCATCACACGCGATTCTAATAGCGTGACTAAGATATTTTTTTACATGACTTTACAATAATTAACGAAATTTAGTCACTTTCTTACTAAAATTATGATAAACTTTCTTTAATTATTATAAACAGAGGATAAATACACATCGTTTAAATTTAATTAATAATTATTTAAAATATTTGATATTTGAGACATCAGTACCATAAATTATCAGACTCAAAACCATAGATTATTCAGTTAATTGTTTAATTAACTGCATAATATATGCTTTTGAGTTATAAAGTCTCACCAAATACCTGTATTAAATGTTAGAACTATATTTAATTGAAATCAAGTAAATATGACCTCTTTAACTGTATTTCAGATCCTTGTACGCCAAATCCCTGCATGAATGGCGGCAACTGTAAAATTACTGGAGAAAATTCAATCTGTGACTGCAGGAGACCATTTTCTGGAGAGCACTGCCAGTTGGGTAAAAATCAGATAATACAAATTCACTCATTTATTCAATGCATTCTTTCCCCCGACGTTAATATTCGTTATAATCCATTTATAAAAATTGAAATTGTTTTTTTAGATCCTTGTATGGCAAATCCTTGCATGAATCGCGGTAAATGTAAAGTTGTTGGAGAAAATTTTACATGTGACTGCAAAAAGCCGTATTTTGGAAAATATTGCGAACAAAGTATGAAGAAAATTTTGCAAATTTATTTGCGTTTAAGACGATATCTTTTTTTTTTTTTTCTATTCAATATGAACTTTTAAACTATTTTTCAGACCCATGTACTCGAAATCCTTGCATGAATGGCGGCAATTGCGAAGTTGTTGGAGAAAATGTAAAGTGTGATTGTATAAAACCGTATTCTGGAGAGTTTTGTCAAAGTGGTAAGATGAAAAACCATAGAATTTCTTCCATCTAATGCAGCGTTTATTCCCCCTATGTAACACTTCATCATAATGTAAGCTATATGCAATATTAAATTGGTTTACAGATCCTTGCAAACCAAATCTCTGCACGAACGGCGGGAGCTGCGAGATTAGTGGAGAAGCTGCAATATGCATCTGTAGGAAGCCATTTTTTGGAGAATTCTGTGAAATAGGTAAGAAAGAGTAGAAGACGATTTTCTTCTGTTAATTTAGTATATTACGTTTGCTACGTTATACATATGGTTGTGATTTTATTACGGAAGAAAAATACAAAATTAGCGGCGGGGTTGTGGGGAAAATAGTGTAATTTCCCCATATTCTGTCGACTGAGAATTTATACTAACAATTTGGCAAAAATCTTCACAGCCACGAATTTATATTATTAACATTTTAAAATAAAAGGGGATAAAAATAGTTTTACCCCCATTAATTTTTAATTTTTATTGAAATGATATCTGTAGCCGGCGCACAGCTAAATGAACACTTTTAAAGCTGAAATTTATATTTCACCAATCCCATTAACCCTCTGAGCGACACAGGATTTTACATCCGTCATGGAGACCGCTATTTAAATAGCATTTATTAATTCAGTTTGTATAATTACTTATTTTAGTCTCTATTTTCATAAACTTACATTCATTAACATATTTACATTATTAAGGAAAGTAAGAAAGCAAAATATCTTAAATTATAAGCCAATATATGATCAGCAGCAAAACTTCTGATGACAGGAAAAAGCCGGACATAACTCTCAGAGGGTTAAAAAACATGAATCTGAAAAATAACTTTATTCCAATGGAAAGGCATTTAAAGATTTGGCCCCGCTTGGTTTTAAAATAATGACTTCTGCACAGTTATTCTGATAGACTATAGGATAATCGATATAGGATAATCAAATTACTCAGCGTATTTACACTCATGTCTATAAATTAAGGGTAATTCGGAGTCACGCAGAAATCGAACTCTAAAATAAATATATCACCTGTAAAATCACTACACACATCTTCAAGAATCATATGCAAATCTCAGGAAGCAACCATATGACACCGATGGTACGTCACAATGACGAGAGTGTAAGAGAGAGATATATAAGGAATACAGGCAAAGAAGTAAAATTGTTCGCAGGCGCTTTATAAGTATTTCAGTGCAATAACGGAATAGTTATGACACAAAGGACGCATTTGGATGATGAGAATTATCGGATGTCTGGAATGTGGGCGTACCCAACTGGAAGTATCAGACGAACTTGGAATTGCCCAGAGTGTCATCTCCAGGCTTTGACAACGATTCCAAGATGATGGTAATGTGAGTAGACGTTACAGCACAGGTCGCCCCAGAGCTACAACGCCGAATGAGGACCGGTATTTGGCAGTTACTGCCAAAAGAAACAGGCGAAGCACAGCCTCAGACCTCTCTCGTCAGCTCTCTTCAGCCACTGGTACGACAATTTCAAGGCAGACCGTGTACAGACGCTTAGGGCAAAATTGGTCTATATGCTCATAGATCTGTCAGATGCGTTCCACTTACTGCAACTCACTGTCGCCTGCGGTTAGCCTGGAGTAGAGAGCATGCGTTGTGGACACCGCAACAGTGGGATTGTGATGTTTTACGACGAGTCCGGGTTTAGCTTGCAGTCTGATTCTCGCCGGACTTTCATATGGAGAGCTCCAGATACCCGTACCAAGAAAACATCATTGAACGACACCGTTACGGTGGTGCAGAAGTGCTCGTTTGGGGTGGAATTATTTTGGGTTCCAGAACTGACCTGCATGTTCAAATTGGAACCATGACAAGTCAAATCTAATGGGACGTCATTCTGGAACAACATGAACGTTTGTTTCGGGGCGCCATGGGCGCACAATTTGTGTTTATGGATGACAACGCCCGTCCTCATCGTGCAAACATCGTAAGCGAATGCCTTCAATCGAAGGATATCACCCGTATGGACTGGCCAGCTTTCTTACCGAACTTGAATCCAGTAGAGCACGTGTGGGATATGCTTGGCCGACGAGTTGCAACCCGTCAACCTCCTCCTGCATGTCTACCGGAACTTCGGAGAGCATTGCTTTTTGAGTGGTGTAATATCCTCCAAGATCAGATCGATAATTTGATACTCAGCATGCCTAGGCGTTGTACGGACTGTATTGCATCGTCTGGGAGACATACAATGTATTAACAATCATACCAACCATGTAATATTGGTTTTTGGTAAATAGGTTTTTTTTTAGTCCAAAGGGATTTGAATCCCGAAGGACTATTACTTTCGTTTTGGCATTTTGCGTCGGACTCATAAATGTCGGTTCACTTTTCAAACTGTTGCCACAAAATGTTAGAGTCCTGCATTATATTTGAAGAAATTAAATAATGAAAAATCTGCATAAATGTATGTATATTTCTCGTATTGTGATAAAACAACGGTACATAGAGTCATCGAATTTTGAATAACGTAATCCTCCAACGAATATGAGCATGTGAAAGACCAAATTTGAAATTTGTTTTATGATCGATTTCCTATTTTTTAAAACTTTGACGAATTTTTGATTAACAAACTCAAGGATTTCAAAGCGAGCAATGGCAACGTTGTGCAGAAAAAACATTTTTATCTCCAGCGCGTGAGTCTCTGTATCGGAAATTCTAAAGATATGCTCGTTTTAAAACTATTTTGCGATATTGCTGTTGCACTGGATCTTATGGTTTTAAGTGCGAGGAACATGATATTTAATAAAGAAAGGTAACACACAAGATGTTAAAAAAAGCCCCTTTGGACGTAATTTAAAATCTGAAACATTTCAGATTTTTTTTTTTTTTTAAATTTGCTCCAGGAAGAAATAATTGCTAATTTCTTAAATAATATCAAACATATAGCATCTTTTTTTCTCTTTACCTTTTGTTTAATAAATAAGCTTTACAAATAAGTCAAATTTGTTTTGCTTCTAACTCTTCCTTTGCCTGATTTTGCATTATCCTTAATTTATGGACATGAATGTATTTGACGAACTATGAAAGATGTAAAGCAAACATACCCATTTATATTACACAACAAATTATACAGGAACTCAAATATTTTTTAACATATGCGTTAAATTTCCGCATATGTGAAGGGCAATTCAATACAAGCTTATTTGTTAATATCGTGAAAATTCAAGTCGATGTTCAAACTCTTACGATATGTTCCCCCATCATTTCGGGCATTATTATTTTAATGGTTTCGGTTATACACGAATGATGAAGCAACGTGCATACCACACGTGATGCAGCCCAACCACCATGGACCTCCATGCCAACCACGCGCTGACGTCTTCTTGAAGCCCGGCCCCTTTATTCGCAGCTGAGAATCTATCGGCTTGCCGAAACTATCGGAAGGAATTATTTCGTCTCTTCTGAAAGCAGAGTGCTTTCTTTTTTTCTCCGATTTTCTTCTCACATGAAGAATTTCCTTCAGATTTTTTCCAAAAGTCAGGCCTCTCAAAGGACTCCCTCAGTTAACTGTAAAGAGCAGGTAAAGTCATCTCTGCTGAATACCAGTATACCACTCAAAGTATCAAAGTACATTCATCATATTGGTATATACGCAAATTTGCTTTTTTGTTCACCTTCTGCAATTCAGGAAAAGACTGTTCAATGTTATAACTCTTATCGGTATTGGTAAATGACAGAAGCAAATTGTTATAAGACTTCCAAAAACGTGATATCTCTGGAAGTTGAGCAAAACTGGACAGAAGATTCAAGTTTTAAAATCCTGATTTTGATTTTTAAACTGAATTTCTTTTTAATATATTTTTCGTGTTAATTTAAATGAAAGATTACATTAAAATTATTTAAATATAAAAGAAGATAATTTTACAGTTATGGTAAAAAACCAAAATGCTATTGAAATTCACAGTGAAACGCGATATTTGCGAAATTTCAGAAACATTCTTTAAATTCGCTTAACTAATAGCTATAATTCTCACCTCAGTAAAATTACTATTCTAATGAAAAGTCCTTATGATAGATAAAATATGAGTTTCTGAACTGCTTTTCAGATCTTTGCACACCCAATCCTTGCATGAATGACGGCAGGTGTAGAGTACTCGGGGAAGAAGCAGTATGTGATTGTAAGACACCATCGTCTGGACTGCGTTGTGAAAAAGGTAATAAATAAATCTTTAACCTTCGCTTATTTACTTCAGATATTATTCCATTTTTTAATAAATGCGAGCTTTTGAACTGCAGCAGAAATATTTACGGATAGAAGTCTAGCAACCAATGGGGCCACAAAATACTTAACCTATAGCTATTAGCTGTTAGCTGACAGGTCATTTAGCCGACAGGACATTTGCCGACAGGGCATTTAGCCGACAAGACATTTCACCGACTCGAACAGTTAGCCGATAGAACATTTTGAGGACAGGAACAGTTAGCCGACTAGGCATTTAGCCGTCACAGACAGTAAAGAGGTTGTCACACATGGCATTCTGAGAAAAGTCCCACGGGACTTTTCTCAGAAACAAGATTTCTGGTAGCACTGGTTTAAACGGGAGGATTCCTAAAAAAAAGAGCCCCGCCTGAAGTGAAATCCCGCCTAGTTATGGAAACAATGTTGCGGCTATGCGAGATTTTTTCAAACCTCACCGAAAATGTCTCGGTAGGACTTCAGTCCCGGGTAGAGACAGGCCCCCCAATCAGACGAAAGTTCTGCTTCTGAAGCATCACGTGATCCCAATCTGAGCGATAATCGATTAGTATTTGGCATTCAAGTCTTTGTAGTAAGTGAAAATGGTAACCTAGCTACGTGGGTTTCCTGGAATTGTGCGGGTTTTGAGAATTGTCCCTTTCGACGAAGTCCCGCGTAGCCGAAACATAATGTGATTGGGACATTAGACGACAGGACATTTAACTGAGACGAACATTTAGCCAACAAGATATTTAACCGACAGCTGGTTTGCAGGAAACATATTTAGACGGCAGCACGTTTGGCAGACAATGCCTGCATTTAGACAAGAGCATGCCCTAGAATTTTAGTAAATTTTGTCCTTATGTCTCCAACAAATATTTAATATTTTCCTCAATCACAAATTTGCTCTAATTCTACATTAATTCACTTTCTAAGTCTTTTTTTCCCCTCATATAAAAAATTCTATTTTAAAGATCACATCTCTGTATTTCATTCTTGTGTGATTTAACATATCGGACTGCAAAAGCTTTGAGTTTCTCACCAGGGAACGTGAATCGTATTTTCGAAAAAGAGAAATAAAGAAATTTTCCAGAGTTCTTCACCAAAAGACACTTACTTGCATCTTCGCTTTGCATTGGGATTAATTATATACAAAGCTTCTTCATTTAGTAAGATGGAGTTCTCTGAATACTTAGAATTAACGATACTATTTCTTCTTTATTTAATAACATTAGTTTCTAATATCTTTTTTCCCGTCGCTTTCAAAATTCTATCTGTTACCTTTTTCACATTTCGTTACTATTTCGCTCGATAAATAACGCAGCATTCCGTTCCACATAAACTCGTCGCGCTTCTCCCATTACTGAAATTGATTTTTACCTGAGTGCCTCCTTTTTTCAGAACTTACGTTTTACATAACCGATAACCAGGGCTTCCATGTGAAAACAGCATTAATAGGCTATACTTCAATAAATACGATTGTACGAAATGGGATTGAAAGTTCCAAATTTAAATAATAAAATAAATTATTCTTGAATTATACATTTTAGGGAAATGTTTGCGGTGGAAGGTTTCTTTAGCAAATGTATTTTATTTTGTTATCAAAAATAATAAAAAAAGAGAATTTTTAAGATTCTAGTTACCGATAGTACACCATTCAGATTCATTGTGACCTGAGAAGAGGCAGTTCAAGCCACTATTCTTAAGATTAAAATAAGCTTCACCATTAAAGTCGCGGTATCGGACATGCCTTTTCAAACATTTTTACCTGAACACATTTCATCACATTGAGACAGCCGAATAATTGCATATTTTTTATTGCGGGGAAAAAAATTGTGTGTGTATATAAATATATATATATTATATATATACATGTATATATTATACAGCTTGAAGCAAAAACGAATTTTACGTAGCGAAAGGAGCAAAATATATATTCTCCGTTCGCCTCGAGAGAAGACATTGAACTCTAGGATTGACTCGCTTAATTTCTAAACGTAGGCATTTTATGCACTAAAACCTAATGATCGAATCATTCCGCTTTTCTATGCTAAATAAAGCAAATTTTCGTGACCTTTCTGGTGATAAAAATCTTGTAATTAAACGAGCAAATTCTGTAAAACCTTTTTTTGTTGACCACGCCTCTTGCTAAAATACTTATTTAAGTTGATGGTTATAGAAATGAACTGTTTCATAACGCTAATTAAGAAGTAAAATATTTTCAAAAGTTTTGTGTTATTCAAAACTAACATCATTTTTGCAAAAACAAAATTTTCACTCTTAGCATTTCATAAAAAGTGCTGCCATCCAACTGCAGCTCTACTTAATTATATTTTCTACCCCGCCCACTAAGCAATTTCGATCGGGTTCGGCGGTCGCATTTTGAGTATTATTTACCGAAATTTAATGGTGTATATTTTTGTAAAATGTAAAAGTACACAATTCTTCTTTGTCTAGTTATTTGTATATAATATTATGTAATATGTATTCTCGTGTTGACCCTGGAAACGGCATCTGGTCGGAGAAGTATGGATACCTTTTTGTTAAAACAATTTCGTAAATTAATGTACTCATGCTTTCGCTTTAAATGGCATTGGAGGCTAAACTGACATAGCTGTTACATATCCTTTTGCATAAATGCTTACTGAAAAATTTTTAATTAATAAAGAAATATCATCAGTACTTTTAATTAATAAAGAAATATCATCAGTTTGTTGCTAGTGGAGAGAATCCTTTTTGGAATATTGCAGCATTTTGTAATTAATATCTTAATTTGGCCGATTGAAATGCAGAAGTGGGGTTATGGGTTATGGGTTATTCAATTATGCCAAAGCACACGAGGGCTATCTGCCTAAAGGGAGGGATGCCTTCGTGGAGGACTTTCTAAGGGAAACTGGCTCGTATACACGTAACACACGGGGAAAACCACGAAAACGCCCATGCAGCCAGCTTGTTCGCGGGATTCGAACCTCGGACCGACCTACCAGTGTTCAGCGTCTTTACCGCTCGGCCGCTGGTGGGCCGAAATGCAGAAGTGAAAGGGTTATTTAGCAAAATAAATATAGTCAAATGAAAAACTCCGAAATAAAATGCAATGCCTACGCTTGAAGGACTGCTGTCTGTAAAATATGGCCTAAAAATGGGTAACAATTGTTGATAAAATTTTCCCATTTTGAAAGTATTTTTCCCATGATTGATATCATTGGCACTTACCATAACAGTTAAGAGCAAATTGTAGCTGAAATTGAACAAATCAACGTAATTGTAGAATTTCCCGGCAAAATGAAAAATTATTAACCGGATAAAAATTAAATGTCCTCAACATAATTAAATAAAAATAAAAATAGATAAATAAGTTAGAACTTATGTCCCTGAAATATTTACTTCGTTCAGTAGCTAATGATTCATTGGTTCTCTAATGGTTATATATAAATAAGTGATGAAGGATTGATTATACTTTTATTTTTGCCATTTTTCTTTCTTAATTTTCAGCATTACACACAAATTTATCAAACTTAACAAAAGACATTAGATTAAAATCAAGCTTGAACTACCAGATTTAAATCTCTTTGTTGCAAATGCTAAACTTTTTTTTTATTTTGAGAACATATATTTTACTGTTCACGTCCATAAATATTTATAAATTTTTAAAACATATTGAGGACAGTTTTAAAAAATTTAATATAACCGATTACATTGAAAAATACACCTCAGGACTTGCTAAACATAATACACTATATTACTTTAATAAACAGTTATCTTATATTATTAGCATCACGGATTTCGGTAAATTCTCAAAATGCGTGCCCACACTCCGATCCCAGTTGCTTAGTGGGTGGGATTTGAATATGGAAGGAAGTTTATTTGGAGTTGGAAGTCACTACCTTTTTCGAAATACGGGGGGAAAAGAGAGAAAATTTAGTGTTTGCAAAAATTAATTCAATTCTGAATAAAAAGAAGGACTTCTTAATATTTTTGTCCTATGTTAACATTATGCAATACTATACAACTGTTCATTTCACTAAACTTTAACCTAAGTAACGTTTTTACCGAGAGGCGTGGTCAATAAAAATGATGTGATAGAACTGAGTATTCCAAGATTTTTAATCCCGCAAAAATAGAGGAATCGAGCATCGCTCTACTACAGAAGTTACGAACAACTGAACAACATAGAACTAAGTGTGCTCGTAGGCGGGACCTACGACGTTAACTCTAGGATATATGCATACAGGGTGTTTCATAGATCATGGGCTAACTTGGAGGGGTGGTGGAGCGGATTTTTTTATAGGAATGTAGGGTCTAAAGTGATAGGTTAAGGCAGGAACGCAAAAAAAACGACATGAGAGGAAAATGTGTTTATGTACAAAATCAACACAAAGTGCTTCTTTGTAGCAATACGTATTCACAATAAATGTTAAAAATTGGGACCGCCAGCAGTATACATGCTTGGTAACATCACAGCAGAGATTGATGAACGTTTAGAAAAACGACAGGCATTTCCCGCACGCTTGCAGCCGCATGGGTACGTGCAATGGGGTCCTCCAGTGAAGTCAACGGGAGTCTCGTAAATTGATGCTCTTCAAAATGGCCCCATAAAAATTTAAAAAAAAAAAAAAAAAAATCCAAGCTGGATAAATATGGTGAACGGGCTGGCCATCGAACAGGTCCATCACAGCCAATCCATTCAGCCCGGAAATGTCCCTTTCCAAGTAATTGCGGACCCACACATGGTTTTGGGCTGGTGCACCAATCATGCCGGAACCACATGTGATCACGAAGCGACAGCCGGAACATCCTGCAGCAATTCCGGTAGCACCTCTTGCAGAAAAATAGGATAACATAAGCCTTTTGTACGTGCAGGTAAGAGATATGGGCCTATGATGTAGTCGTTAACAATATCCGCCCACACATTCACGAAGAAGTGGGTTTGGAATGCATGTGGACGTGTGTCGTGTGGATTATGAGTTGCCCACACGT